ATGGCAAAAATGCTAGCCGGCTTGGGCGGTTCAGGCTCGGCCTAGAAAAAGTCCGAGTTGGGCCTGACTTGAGCAGATCCCTAGCATGCCCATGTCACGGGCCAAAACGGCCCGCACCAGCTTGCCCCGTTTAGAATTTTTTTTGAGCGGGCTCGGCTCGGCCTGTTAAGACTCAAGCTGAAAGCTCAGGTCGAGTCTCATTTTTTTGGCCGACTCGGACCCAAAAAAGCTCTGTCCTGTTTTGCTCGAGTTGAGCCTGAGTTTCAAGTTTCGGCTCATGATTCGTTTCGACTCAACTTGTTCACATAGCTAATTTTATTCAAAGAATAGTAAAATATTATTTTGTGGTCTCGAATAAGAATAGAAACCACACTTATCAGTATCGAAAATTTCAGTGTCAGCCCTGTTCTATATCTATATATTAGTCCACTAATGTGCTATCTTCATTTTGATGTTAATCTCCTTGTTTTCTCCTTTAACACAGACAAATAACAATTACACATGCTTTATTATATTCATGCAAACTCAGTGTATCATTGCGAAACTTTAAGGTTCCTTTTTTCCAGTTATAATTGTTACGGTGACCGTTGCTTCAGATGTATGCCCCTATAGCCAATAATTTTTATCCATTTTAGCTTATTCAATTGTATCTTTTTACCTCGATTTTTATTCATTTCGTTTTTAGATTTTTATATTTTATATTTTCATTTTCCCAATTATAATTGTTACACTGGCTGCTTCAGAGGCATGCCCCTATAGTCTACAACTTCATTTGTTTCAGCTTATACACATATATCTTTTTACCTCAATAATTGTTCATTTCATTTTTGGTTGTTGATGTGTACAATTTTGGTAAACTCAAAGACCTGAGGACTTATGCACCTTGCCCACTCTCATTATCGAACACTCATCGAGTTTCACAATGTCGGAATTGAACCCTTGATCCTACATTCCCTGCAGCGCTTTTTTTTTCTCTCCTCTTAAGTTTCCTATCTCAAAAGGACTCTATTACTATAATCCTACGACTTCAACCAAATTACAACGTCAAACTATAACATGACTATCATGCCTTTCATGACTTTTAAATAGATAAGGCATCTTAGTAACTCAATCCTATCAAGATTACTCTATTCAACTCTATAGATATAGGTCATTCATTCATTATCCAAGTACAGTTATATTAATTTGGTCTATAATTTTAGGTTTACATTTCTCTTTTTTGCTAACTTAAGTATCGGAGGGACAATGAGAATATACCTTGACGCTTTTGTTTCAAGTTTTGGAGATCTCGGGAGCTCATTCCCAGTTATCAAGCTTGAATATTCACGTGCAGGTTTTTGGTAGCACTAGTTGCTTATATTTTTTATTCCCATTTTCCAGTCGTAATTGTTACGCTGTCTGTCGTTGCTTCAAATGTACGCCTCCTGTAGCCCATAATTTCATTCGTTTCAACTTACACATATCTCTTTACCTCAATTTTTGTTCAGTTCATTTTTTTTTTTTATGTTTGTATTTAGATCTTAGCTTCATTCAATTTCCCGTCGAACTATTTTATAGTGAATTGTTTAATTTACTGTAAATAAAAATGTTGGACCATTTAATTTGATTAGGTTATATTATATGATCGACTAGTGCTTTCAATCTATTGAAAGAGCACTGTATTCAGGTTTTTATTTTTTACATCATCGGCTCATTCGACTTCCCGTCGGAGTATTTTATATTGAATTTTTTTATTTGCTAGAAATGTAAATTTTGACTCTTTTAATTTGATCGGATAATATTATAGTGATTTCAATAGGTTGAAAGAGCACCGTGCCGTGAATTTTTTTTAAGGGAACAATACACAAAACCTACCTATAAGAATTATTTTTCAAAACTAACAAATTTATCTAATTATTTCAAAAATCAGGTGGTAAATAGATTTATTAAATATTAAATTATAATATAATATATATTAATTATTTACACCCCATGACCTCACCCACCCCCATCACCTCACTACACCACTTTCCCTCCATCTCCGGCACCGCTCCGACGACTGTTCTGACTATTACTCCGGTGGTTGCTCCGGTGACTCTCCGGCGATCACTCTGATGGCTATTCCGACGATTACCCCGACGCCCGTTCTAGCGGCCAACTTCCAAATTTTCCTAGAATTTTTTTGTCACAATCAGTCACAATTGGTCACCAAGAATCACAATCGGTCACAGAAGGGCACATTCGGTCACAAATAGTCACAACGAACTACCCGATAGTCAAATCGCGATCTGGTCATAGATCAGAAAAAGTTCGCCAACACCACCAACTCCGGTTGTAGCCTTCTTACTCTGCAGTGGAGCCGACTACGCCTCCACCACCACCACATCAATCTAGTCATCCTTACACCCACAACCATCAACATACCCTATTGCAGAAGAAAAAAGCAACATCCAAAAACAATAAAATCCCACATGAAATAAAATTAAAATACCAACAAAAGATGCAATAAATGACTTGGTTCCTGAGTCTGCTCGAGCGCCTCACTGTGGTAATAATATTGTCCAAGTGGTAAATTTAAAAATGAATAATTTGACAAAAAATAGATGAAAGAAAGTTTAATTGCATTGAAGTTTGCAGTAATCAATCCTGAGATATTATTCGAAGCCTTAATGAAGAGGAAGCTCACTATGGCTCACCAGAATCTCCCTCAATTTAACCCCAAAATCTTCCTCTCTGTTTCCCACAAAACTTCATTCTCCATTCTCTCTCTCACATTTCGTTCATCAAAATCGTTCCCAACAAGCTTTTCAAGTCCAAGAAATCACGGCCTGTTTCCAGATTTGAGACCGATCCGTCTTCCTTTAGCTCCCAAATGACGTCGTCTTCCTCCCACGAATCCCAATCTGGCCTCAAGCGTTCGAAATGATAGACATGGAAGGGACTGGGAAAGTAAAGAAAGAGGAGCTGAAAACTTTGTTGAGGGAGATTGGACTTCTTTGTTTCCGATCGTGATGGGAAGATAGCGGCAGAGGAATTGCTCAACGTTTTTAAAACTACTGGGGACTTACGGTGCACGTTAGAGGACTGCCGACGCGTGATAAGAGTAGTGACACTGGGAATGAGCCGTCGGAAGATAGGGAGAGGAGCCGCCGAAAGAGCGGGAGAGGAAGGGTAAAGGGAGAAGGACGCTGCGAGCAGAGACGACGGTGGTGGGTATGTGTGTGGCGGGTAGAGAGGTGGAGAGGAGAGAGAACAAAAATGGTTTGGGGATGAATTGGGGGTGAGTGAATATTGTATATTACGTTTAATTTAAATTTTTATTAATTATAATTATAAGAGCATCTCCAACCATAATGTAAATGGGCCGAAATTATGATTTGGATATATAAAATGGTCGAAAGCTATGCAGAGAAAATGTAAATTGTATTTTTCGAGAAAAACATCAAAGAGAGAAAAAAAAAATGGATTTACATCTTTCTATTGGAGTAAAATTTGAATTAGTCCATTGGAATGTAAATAAGGATGTAAAAATGATTTAAGAAATATCAGTTTACACCCAATTTATTAGATATGTATTTACGTAAGCATGTATATGTATCTATATGTATGAATTTGAAATATGCATTTTTTTTAATTTTTTATTATTATTATATGTATGCATGCATTTTATTTAAAGATATAAAACAACAAATTCCGTTAGTTTTTCCGTTAAACCAACAAATTCCGTTAAATATGCACTTTTTATATATAGAAAGATATAACGAAAGTTTCTCAACTTAGAAAAGATAATGTTTCTAAAAGATTATCTAACTCGAGAATATTGGCTTTCGGGTCATGGATTTAGTATAAGTGAAAGTGAACGTCTAATTTTAATCACACATTTCATAAAATTTATAATTTTTCAATCACACAGTCCATCAGTTTTTATTAAAAAAATAAATGGAGTAGGAAACGAGGCAAGTCCTCGCCCCGTACCCGCCCCGAGCCCCGCCACGTCCCGTCTAAGGCGGGGTGGGGCGCGGGACGGGGAGGGAGAGTGGCGTGGTGGAACAGGGTGGGGTGAGGGTGCCCCACCCCTAACCCGTCCTATTGCCATCACTAGAAATAAGTGAATTCTTGTCATGTGTGTGTAATAATAACGTCACTTGTTCATTATTATAAGATTGAGAGTTTAATTTATGGGAAAATTGTAATTACGGTACCAAACTTTCTTTTAGTAACAGATTTGTCCAAACCCTTTATTTATGCCAAACATGGTACCAAACTTTTAAAAATTTGCACATGAAGTCCAAATGGATGAATTGACCATTCGTTGACTCCAAAAAATAATTATGAATAAATTTTAAAAGGGTAAACTGGTAATTTACTATTTATAATAAATAAATAAAATGAAACTGAAAGAAAAGAATATGGTTCTCTCCTTCCCCTCATCCAACCCCACCCTACGCTAAAATGGGAAAACGCATCCCCGCCACCCACTTGCCATCGCCGACACCACCGTGCAACGCTGCCGAAAATCACTACCACCTAAGAACTCGAAATCTCTTTCTCAATTTATTTTGATAGCCCTTTCGAGTATTTATTTTAATTATTTAAGTGTTCAATATATATATATTCATTAATAATTCAAATCTTACTACACTCTTATCTATTTATTTGTTTTTTTGCTAAGAGCTTGTTTGGTAGGGATTTTTTGGAGGAAAAATTGATTTTGAATAGTGATATGTTGAGAAATGTGTGGTTGAAAAAGAAGAAAAAAATTATTGATATGATGGAAAATATTATTTTATTAAAGAATGCGTGGTTGAAAATGAGAATTGATTTACTGTAGAAAATGATAATCCCTCCCAAACAGGCCTTTAGTTTATTATATCACTGTATATAGATTCTATCTGTGCAAAGTTGGTGATTTTATGTGTTTTTCATTCGTTAAAATTATTTAGGTAATTTAGCCAGGGAGCTTTGCCTCAGAAGAATAAAGTACAACTCCTCGTCAGATTTTGTGAAACTATAAGTTCATTATGGCTGCATCAGAAGAGAATAGTGCACTTTTTCCCATCTTTATCTTGACATTAATGGCGCTGCCTCTAGTGCCGTACACAATAGTCCAGTTATGCCATGCTGCGACGAGAAAGGCCACGAATATTAATTGCCAGTGTTCAGTTTGCTTTCACTCTGGGAAATATCGCAAATCCATATTCAAACGAGTAAGTTTCTGATTCAATTTGCATTCTTTAATTATTACTTCAGATAATACCCATGGCAGACGGTACACTTCATTATGCTTCACAACTATAGTGGCAATAATTTTGTTCATTTTGGTGTAAATTTTCAGATTTCCAAGTTTTCAACATACAGTAACCTGACTCTGGTGCTACTTTGGATCGTTATGGCTGTCCTGGTTTACTACATCAAACATATCAGCACTGAGGTGCTCCACACATCCTTGATAATTCTCTGTTAAGCATGTGATCATGAAAGTTACTATTATGCTATTCATTTTGATTGCAACATAGAGTACTGAGACTTGAGAGAATTGGATCTGAGCTTGTGCTAATATGTTTCAAAATGAACTATGAATGCTAGCTGTATTTAACTATTTGTATATGTTATACAATTCAGTACATGCTTATATATAATTTTTTCATTTATGCTGATCCATTACATGTGATTCTGGTGATTGATATCCAGTTGTTAAATATTGTTTTGGAGTTCTCCATACACATGTTATAAAGGAGCATAACAGTTAGTTAAGAAAATATAGCTTAATAGCCACAAATGTTTTTGTTTGTTGAGGTTTTTGATGGATCTGCTCCTTTTGAAATTTAACTAGACATGTTTATTTCCCAGATCCAAATTTTTGAACCATTCGGCATTCTTGGAGTGGAAACTGGAGCTTCAGATTCAGAAATAAAGAAGGCATATAGGAGACTTTCCATTTTATATCATCCTGATAAAAATCCTGATCCAGGTTGAAGTTGTTCAGTGAGAGCATACATTTACTTCTTTGTTAATTAATCCGGGTGGACGCCATTTGACTTGCTAAATAACTTGTAAACTCCTTGTTGCAGAGGCACACAAGTATTTTGTGGATTATATCTCAAAGGCATATCAGGCTCTAACAGATCCAGTATCACGCGAGAACTTCGAGAAATATGGCCATCCTGATGGCAGGCAGGTAGCTTATTTTCATAACCAGCAGTGAGAGAAACTCTCTTGCTTTCTTCTATTTTCTAAAAGTTGAAATTGAACTGGAGAATCTTGACTGATGAAATTCTTATATCTGTTTCTTGTCAGGGGCTTCAAATGGGGATTGCTCTTCCTCAGTTCCTTCTTAACATTGATGGAGCATCTGGAGGAATACTGTTAATTGGAATTGTAGGCGTTTGTATTATTTTGCCCCTGACAATAGCCGTCATATACTTGTCAAGGTCATCAAAATATACAGGAAACTTTGTCATGCATCAGACGATATATGCTTATTACCATTTCATGAAGCCTTCTTTGGCTCCGAGGTATATGGTGTTAGCTAGGTTCTGTGTTATGCTAATAATATAGTTTAGAAAGGTTAATGTTAGTGTAATTTATAGGTTGGTTGTGGTTGGTAGAATTTTAATATATTTGATTGGTTTGTACTTTGAAGTGTCCTGACTAGTGGTAAAGATGTTGAGTTTGTTATCTCCTGTATAATATGGCTGATCTAGAGCCTGTAACATTGGGGAATGGGAACATCTGAAATTTTGTTTCATGGAATCATTCAATCACATGGTTATGTCCTCAATATGTATTGAATCTTCTGTGTATAATTTCTTTAAGCTTCTTCTGCAAGCCCTTTCCTTTACTTCTGTTTGTCTTGTGTAATCCCTATTATTTACGTTTGTGTTTAACTACGGTTCTCAGTGATGTTGCCTTGATGGTGCAGCAAGGCCGTGGATGTTTTCATTAGGGCTGCTGAATACATGGAAATTCCAGTTCGTCGTACTGATGAAGAATCTCTTCAGAAACTGTTTGTTTTAGTCAGGAGCGAGTTGAATCTAGACCCCAGAAACATCCGGCAAGAACAAGCCAAGTTTTGGAAGCAGCATCCTGCTTTAGTAAAGGTGATGTGCTTGCTGTTCACAAGTTTGAAAGCCTTGATAGGGGTACCTTACTTAGATAGCTGGTTTCTGCTTGCAGAATGAGTTGTTGATTCAAGCCCATTTGACCCGTGAGACTTCATCATTATCGCCATCTTTGCAGCGTGATTTCAGACAGATGCTTGCCCTTGCACCTCGGCTTCTTGAAGAATTGATGAAGGTATTTATATTTCTGTGTGACTTATGGCAGTTTTATATCATTCTACCCTTTTATTGAAATCTAGTTTTTCCTTTTCCCGTTGACTTTTTTTTGTAATGAATTGTTCGTGTATGGTGCTTTCTTAAACATCCCACTTGAGATTTCTGGAGAAATTTCTGAATAAACGTGGAATCACCATTCTTAATATTCTTAGGTGCTCTTGTTGAGGATTTGTGAACATGAACATTGTGGGGGGTGAATTACAATATTACCGGAAGAAAGCAAAAAATACGTAAATTTATAATATTTTTCCTTGGTTGCTTCAAAAATTTTGCTATTTAGGGGTTTTTTGATCCCCATTTTTTTTAAAATTCATTTTTTCAAAACTCATTTTCAACTACACATTCTCCCATAAAATAATATTACACGTAAATTGAAAACTTTTTCTTAATTTTTAACCACATATTCTCCAAAAATCACTATTCAAAAATGCATTTTTTCTCTCAAAATGGGACTCAAACAAGGGCTTAATCTGACAAACATATCATTATGTGGAAATACATTGAGCCTGATAGGGTTAATTTTGATAGCTTTGGGATGGAAAGACTTTGAATAATTTAGTGGAATGGATGGAGGTACTCAAGCACAGTGATTTAGAAAACAAAGGCACAAGAAATCAGCATTTTCATGCCCTGGGGCTTCTCTTCTCATCATGTACCTGATTTCAATTTCTCAACATTTCAGAGTCAGATGATATTTAAAATTTGGACATAACAAAAATGTTGATAGTATCCAGGGAAAAAGTGAGATTCGTTTTGTTGTAATCTGAAACCTGTTTTATTTTCTGACTTGTTGGCCTCACATTGGAAAGATGGAAAATGTTTTTGTTTGCCTTCTTTTCCAAAATGTTTATGGAAATTTTTAACCTGTATGATGACACACACAAAAATTCGTTTATTTGATACTTCAGCATTCTCCGTAAATAAGTATCCAATACAAACACATTTTTGGAATTCTGAGAGATGGACTCGTGTGTTAGCAAAAATACTTAAACCACTTTTGTTAATCGTCCAAAGGAAATGCTTTAATTTACTATCTTCTCCTTAAAAAACTCTCACATGCCACAAAAAAAATGGTAAATATCAGACATGACATCCAGTCAACTAGCCCTCAGACACCTGTAGTCCCAGGTGGTAAATATCAACCTCCTCAAACTTTGCTATATAAAATTGATAATTAGTGACACAAGTAAATTCAGGCAAGCGTAAATAATCAAAGTGTTTGAACAAAATGGACTGCAGGCCCGCTGCAAGTTTTAGCTTTATCTACTGGTCACCAAAAACAAAGAACTAATAAGTGGATAGGTAATTTGCCCATCTGCACTCAGGCTCAGGCCTTTTTCTCATTCTATCCATTAAGTATCAAAAGATATGAAACTCTAGTTTACTTTGTTTTTAGATTGCCCCTCCAATATTCAAACATCCCAGGTCCTTGTAAGAGCACACTTGAGATGATTCAGAAATGAGGAAGGGAATGCACCAACTTGCCTCAACTTCTGTTATTTGTTTCACATGCATTTATCCTTTGTTTTTCCAATGCTTTTCAACTTGTATTTTTTTACCGTATGTTACAGTTGTTTATTGGACTTTATATAACTGTAGACAATCATACAGAGTTATTTTTCTCCATGCAGATGGCAATCATACCACGCACTCAGCAGGGGCATGGATGGCTGAGACCTGCAATTGGGGTGGTTGAGCTATCTCAGAGTATCATCCAGGTATTGTGCCACTTTAATTTGTTGTTGAGATTATTTATGATAGGAATCGTTTGAGTGAATAACTAGTACCATAGCACCATAATTTGATATATAGCCCTTGTTTGGTCCCCATGATTTCAAAATCCATTTTTCTTTCTCTTATTTTCAACCACACATTCTTCAACAAAATAATATTACTCACAAATCCAAAACTTTCCTTATTTTTTAACCCCACATTCTCCATCAAATTACTATTCCAAAATGCATTTTTGACAAAAAAATAGAGTTCAAACAGGCTCTTAATATTCTTTTATCGAAGAAAGCAGAAAACATGATACACATAACACATTATAAAATCTATCAAGGCCCCTTTTGATTCTCATTTTTCATTCATAAAAATGAAAAATATGATCATTATCCATCATGTTTGGTCCCCATGATTTCAAAATACATTTTTCTTTCTCTTATTTTCCACCACACATTCTTCAACAAAATAATATTACTCACAAATCCAAAACTTTCCTTATTTTTTAATCACACATTCTCCATCAAATTACTATTCCAAGATACATTTTTGACAAAAAAAATGGAGCTCAAACAGGCTCTTAATATTCTTTTATCGAAGAAAGTAGAAAACATGATACACATAACACATTATAAAATCTATCAAGGCCCCTTTTGATTCTCATTTTTCATTCATAAAAATGAAAAATATGATCATTATCCATCACATCAAGCCATCAATTTTGAATTTCNATCCATAAAAATGAAAAATATGACCGTTATCCATCACATCAAACCATTAATTTTGAATTTCTATCTCTTGTGTGGGGCCCAATAACGGCTATACTTTTCATTCTAATTCTAGAATAATGAGAATCAAACGGGGTGTAATTCACTATCATTTGGCTTTTTTAGGGAATCTGTCAATAGTTGATGTGAAAAACAATCCTTCCAGATATAGAATAGTTCACCGATTTTGGAGTTCTTCTGCATATTGTAGAAAAGACCTACATTCATCTGCTCCATAATTTTTGCTTTATTTTGTAAACCCTACCTTTTGTTTTATATTGATGATATAATAGTGGCATTTGATTTGTATTTTCCCTTTCGTCACTTTTCAAATCTGTGCTAAAATGATGATTGCTTTTAGATTTTAATTTTAATTTTTAAAATAATGTAATGTATGATATAGCAAGTTTGAGTTTTGAAGTCAAGCAAATTTTTTGGGACATCGGAAAGGATGTTTAGGGATGAAAATATGAAGGGTGGAGCATGTCAGAGACTTCGAGGTCAATTAACATTGTCCTGATGCATAATATGAGGAACTTTTAGGGCTATAGATTTTTAATCAGTTTAACTTTACATTTTCACATATTGCAAAAAACAGATACACGTGCATTGGCCTCAGTTGCCATGAAATGGAAAAAAGAACATTAAACGCAAAAAGCTTGTGACAAAAGCATCAAATGGGATTGAAACCCAATTTCATGCATAAAAACAGATTGATGTTCATCATCCATTACGAGATGATTGTATTTTCTTGTTGAAAGGATCTTTAAAGCTCTCTTTGGTGGACCTTATAGTTATCTGGGTGAATTGTTTTCATGGTTGAAAAATGTTTATTATAAATCAGAATTCTCAGGAAAAGGAGGGGTTAAAGGGAATAAGGGTAAAAGTTGGGGAAGATATGAGAAAAACCACCAAGAGACAGAATAATCCTGAGGGAATGCTACTAGAAGCTACATAACAAGCTTCCCAATCCTCAGAAATATTTTCAAATTTCCAATTTGTGTTAGTTACTTCTTTCTATTATTGTGAAAGGATAAATAGTTTTTTATCTGACTTGCTAGATTTCCTGACCATAGGACTTGACTTCGCAAAACTTATCAAAATTGAGAAAAATCTTGACTCAGAGATCGGTCTAGAATTTCTGCAACTAGAATGCTTTTGTACTCCAGTCCACAAGTATGTCAAATATGACACTCAGCTACCTACCTATTGAATCCTGCAAAATTGTATAATTGCCTTTGTGGTTCATTAACATATGCAAAATTCTTGTGTACATGCAGGCTGTTCCCCTCAGTGCAAGAAAAGCAACCGGGGGATCAAGCGAAGGATATGGTCCCTTTTTGCAGCTGCCATACTTCACAGAGTCTGTCGTTAAAAAAATCTCCAGAAAGGTTGATCTCCTCTCTCTGGCTCTATACTCTGTCTCTGTCTGTGTCTGTCTTTCTCTCTTATGAGTTATGTGTGCATGTGCATGTCTTTTAAGCAATATTGTTTGACACAGTCACCTGCATTGCACCATTTTCTGCTCTTTCCCATTGATGGTTGCAATTCTTTTGTTAATGATGTTAGAAACAATTCTGTAAATTAAGAGAGGAATTGAAGAGTAGTTTCTTATTTTCTATTCAATGGAAAACGAAGATATATATACACATACAATCCGTCTAATTAAGGTATGTTAATCTGTCTAATTAAGGTATATCTAATCACGTTAATTAGCTATTGTAATTAGGCTAATTAGCTAATAATTAGCCCTTAATGTCATAACAAATTCAAATAATAATCTTAAATCCACAAATGCTTCTCTTCAGATCATTGCTTCCCTTCACAAATATCACATGTCCTTTGACAAATCACGCACAGGTCTTGCATGGTCATTTATACTAGGTAGAGTGGTGTAATTCTTGCTGTGCACAACTGTACTATTACAATGATATCTCACCACTTACATGAAAGTCCGAACTTAATTTTCTTCCAAACGTGTATTCTGTTCTCCATATGTATTGAGCTTAATAGCTTTTGTTTCTGTTATTTGTCCAGAAAGTACGCATGTTACAAGATCTTCGAGACATGAAACCAGAAGAGCGGGCAGAGTTGTTGACTCAGGTTGCTGGCTTTTCTGCCGATGAATCCCGAGATGTGGAGATAGTTATTGAAATGATGCCTTATATTTCAATTGATATAACATGTGAGACAGAAGGTGAAGAGGGGATACAAGAGGGTGATATTGTAACAATGTGGGCTTGGATTACTCTTCACCGTGGGAATGGCTTAACTGGTGCTCTTCCACACGCTCCTTACTTCCCTCTCGAAAAAGAAGAGAATTTCTGGTTACTTATTGCTGACTCCTCGTCAAACGATGTGTGGATCTCTCAGAAGGTAAATTTTGTAGACGAAGCAACGGCAATAATTGCTGCAACAAAAGCAATTCAGGAGCTGAAGGAGGGGTCGGGTGATAGTGCGAGGGAAATAAATGCAGCAGTAAAAGAAGCAATTGACAGAGTTAAAGCTGGATCTCGGCTTGTGATGTCCAAGTTTCAGGCCCCTGCAGAGGGAAACTATAACCTGACTTCTTATTGCTTATGCGATTCATGGATTGGTTGTGATGCAAAGTCTAGCATTAAGTTGAAGGTTTTGAAACGAAGCCGGGCAGGGACAAGGGGTATGGTCGCTGCAGACGAGTTACCGGCACTAGAGGATGGAGGTGATGAGGTGGAGGAAGAAGATGAATACGATGATGATTACGAGAGTGAGTACAGTGAAGACGATGAAGACGTTAAAGGAAAAGAGGCTAATGGAGCTGTGGTAAATGGCTCAGCCTATGTTAGAGGCGATGATGGTTCAAGCTCAGATGGTTCAGGAAGTGAGGAAAATTAGAAAAAAAATTCCTTTATTTTTGTTGTGTTTTGTTATACGTTAAATTTTAAAATTTCCGGGAGAAATAAAGGGGATTAAAGAAAATTTTGCTAGTTTTCTGTTGATAAAACATTCACAAAGCATATAGCCGATTTTAGAGTTCATTTAATACAAGTTGAAAATGAACATAAACATGCACGGAGTAGAGTACTTGGGCATCGTTTTTATCCTAGATGATATATGAGTCTCTGATATATATCCTACAACTGGTGTTTTTGCTTTGATCACTTGTCTACTTTTGCTCAGTTTGGTCTCTACTTTTTAAAACTCATTTTGAAACGAACAATCTTTCCATAGAATAATTTGCACGCGAACTGATATCTTTTGTTCAGTTTGGTCTCTACTTTTTAAAACTCATTTTGAAACGAACAATCTTTCAATAGAATAATTTGCACGCGAATTGATATCTTTTTTATACATTTTAATCACGCATTTTTTAAAAAAAAAAAATGATTTTTTTTATTCTTAAAAATTCTCCACCGAACAGGGGTTTTTTTTTGTTCCCTGATCGGTGATCATGGTATGACTTTCGGGGATACGTCATCGGATACTAAGCACATTTGTCAGTAAATTTTTACTTTAAAATATGTTTGAACATGTTATTCTTTTTCTTATTTGTAAGTAAATAATTTACTTATTTTGACAAAAAAAAAAAGGTTACTTTTGCTTGCACTTTCATCAANAAAAAGGTTACTTTTGCTTGCACTTACATCAACCGCCAAAAAATAGAGGGAATGAAATGAATGGCATGGATAGCAGATAGAGGAAATTACACCCAAGCCTGGTTTTAAATTACCATTTTCATAAATCCTATAACAAGTTTAACTTTTCAAAAATCAGATTATGATTAAAATATTTAATATTAATAATTAAATTACAAATTCCAATTAATCAGTTTTCATTTCCCTCTCTCTTTCTCTCTCTCTCTCACCCGATTTCTCTACTCTCTGGCTCCGGCTCCTCTCTTTTCCCTGGCCGCCGACACTGTCGCTCGAAGCAGCGACCAACACAGATCGTGGCTACGGCGGCGTTGGTGAGTTTTTTTTGTTGTTCGATTTATTTTTCACTTTCCCCCAAACCCTCGCTCTCGTCGCCGTCTCGACAATTGGTTGAGTCTTTTTTCGGTGGTACTGCGGGCATTTGTGCTAAGGATCG